CAGGGCGGCTGCGACGACGTTAGGGGTTAAAACTGATTTGGGTTCTTGTTATTTTCTATAGTATTTATGGGCCAGTTCAAGATGTGAGGATCCCCTAATCTCAACATGTTGGGGCTTGGATGTATATCAAAATCAAGAAAGAAGTAATAAACTCAAGGTGTTGTATATATAAATGTTGTACAAATTTGTGATGGTGATTTCTTGTGTCTGCTGTTGTACAAATTTGTGATGGTGATATCTTGTGTCTGTTGTTGTTTGTTGTCATGTAAGCTCCAGTTGAACTGAGAAGGAGTTTGATGTTGTTCTCTGTGCAGTTAACTGTTGTGGTTAGCATGTTAACTCTTGTGTTTAACATGTTAACTCTTGTGGATAACATGTTAACTCTTATGGATAACATGTTACTCTTGTGGCTATATGTTAACTCTTGTGACAAACATGAATTATAGTTAACAGACAGTTTATGAATAACAGTGAACAGATAATTCATTATAGTTAACAGTTTATAAATAACAGTTAACAAATAATAATTAATAGTTAACAAATTATAAATAACAGTTAACATATAATTGATTATAGTTAACAGTTATATTTATCAATTTACCAATTAAGGTTAACATGCTAGGTATTATAGTTAACATGTTAAATGAGAATTATATTAACGTGTATATGACCCGATAAACTCAGGGTGTGGTATATATAAATGTTGTACAAATTTGTGATTGTGATTTCTTGTGTCTGCTGTTGTTTGTTGTCATGTAAGCTCCAGTTGAATTGAGAAGGAGTTTGATGTTGTTCTCTGTGCAGTTAACTGTTGTGGTTAGCATGTTAACTCTTGTGTTTAACATGTTAACTCTTGTGGATAACATGTTAACTCTTATGGATAACATGTTAAACACGAAGAGTTTAACCATGCTAAATAATTGTGGTTTAAAAATTATTAAGTATAATGAACTGATTAATTATTATTTTGGTTAAGCGGGTTATTTATAATTTATTAACATATTAATTATTATTTGTTAAACTGTTATTTTAACTGTTAACTAATAATGAATTATCTGTTAGTTTATTATTCATCAAACTGTCTGTTACTATATTCATGTTTGTTCACAAGTAGTTAACATGTTATCGCATAATTCAGTTAAGCATGTTTGCCAGAGAGAGTTTAACATGTTATCAATAAAGAGTTAGCAATGTTAGCGGCATGAAGGTAGTTACCATTAGCCACAAGAGTTAACATATTATCCACAAGAGTTACATGTTAACTATACAGGCAAGAGTTTTACATATAACCATAAGAGTTAACATGTTATCTCACAAGGAGTTGACGTATTATTCATGAAAGTTAACCATGTTTATCCACAAGAGTTTAACATGTTATCAACAAGAGTTAACATGTTAGCCATAAGAGTTAACATGTTTATCCACAAGATGCTTACATGTTAAACCACAATGAGTTTAACATGTTAACTATAACAAGAGTTAATATTATTAGCCACAAGAGTTAAACATGTTATCGCACAAGAGTTGAGATGTTTTATCTACTAATAGTAACATGGTTTGCGACAAGAGTTAACTATAGCGCACAAGAGTTAACATGTTATCCATAAGAGTTAACATCGTTTTCACAACGAGGTTAACATTGTTAAAGCACCGAACGTGAGTTAACATGCTAACCACAGACAGTTAACTGCACAGAGAATAACATCAAACTCCTTGCTCAATTGCACTGAGCTTACTGACAACAAACAACAGGCAAGGCACAAGAAATCAGCATCGAGACAAATTTGTAGCAACATTTATATATCGCACACGCCTGAGTTTACTTACTTCTTTCTTGATTTTTGATATTACTGCAAAACGAGTCCATCAAAACGAGTCCATCAAAATCCACGTTAACCACCGTGCGCAGACAGCGCCGTCCAGGCGGCGCCCTGAAATCAAAACGAGTCCATCAAAATCCACGGACCACCGTCGAAAGCCTAAGAAAGAACTCGGTGAATTATGCTGTTCAACTGTTATTCATAAACTGTCTGTTAACTATAATTTCCATGTTCTGTCACAAGAGTTTACATGTTATACACAATTTAGTTAATATGTTTGGGCCAGCAAGAGTTAATCATTATAGCCCACAAGAGTTAAGCATGTTATCATAAGAAGTTAACAATGTTATCGCCTACAAAAGTTTTTTTTTTTAAAATAAACCAAATGATTAATCACAAAGAGTTACATGCTAACCACATGCACAGTTTAATCTGCACAGAGAACCAACATGCAAACTCCTTCTGCAGTTCAAACTGGACTTACATGACAAAAAGCAACAGCAGACACAAGAAATCACCCAATCAAAATTCGTACAACAGGCAGACACAAGAAATCACCATCACAAATTTGTACAACATTTATATATACCACACCTTGAGTTTATTACTTCTTTCTTGATTTGATATACATCCAAGCCCCAACATGTTGAGATTAGGGGATCCTCACATCTTGAACATGCCCATAAATACTATAAGAAAATAACAAGAACCGCAAATCAGTTTTTAACCCCTAACGTCGTCGCAGCCGCCCTGAATATCAAAACGAGTCATCAAAATCCACGGAACCACCGTCGAAAGCCTAAAAAACGAACTCGGCCAGCCGCCGTTCACCTAACCTCTGTAGTTCATGGGCACAACGGGGGACATCGGCAAGCTGCCCGAGGGGGGTACGAAAACCTGGCGGGTGATCTGGCGGCGGGCGAGGCCATTATGGCGGCGCTCGAGCTTGTCCTCGTTGAGGTCGTGGAGGAACCTGCACCTGTTGCCGTTCTTGCAGAACCCCCTAGCGAGGTAGAGACAGGGGTGACGGAGGTAGCGGCGGTGTTGGAGGTTTCGAGTGAGGTTAGAGAGAGGGTGGAAGAGGAGATGGGTTTGTAGGAAGAGGAGTAGATCTAGAGAAGATCTGGAGAAGAAGAAGAGGGTAGTTTGGGAAGTTTTTGTCTTGGAAATTGTAAATGGGGCTGATTCACATGGATTTTTCATTTTTGGGGAAAAAGCACATTAGAAAAAGTTCAAGGGGCTGGGACACATCACCAATTTAGTTTTGGGGCCTTGAAGCAATTTTTCCAAAAAAATATGATAATAAAAATACTCGTTGTACTAGAAAGCCAAACAACTTCTGTATCACAAGAAACATAGCGTAGAATCCTTGATTGCTCACAATTTTGAGTGTCAATTCATACAAAAGTACCCTACAATTTCTCTGGTGCTAAAGTACTTCAAGATGTAGTGCTTCTCAACATATAATGGAAAACTAAGCGAGATTTCTATTTTTGATACATGTGATATTAACTTTTTAGGTTTTATTTAATGATGTAGTGCTCTCTCAATAGAACAAAAAAAGACAAAAGATTTATTTCATTTGTGTACACTGTTCCTCCCAACAAAAAAATACTCTAGGTAGATGTTTAGTATTTCTAAATCATGTCACATTCGTGTTCTATCTTCTTAACACCTAACAAATATATGTTTAAAGTTAAAAATGCAAATATAATTTAAAATCAATAAAAAAATAAATGATTCTATTTGTAAAACCATCATAAACCTAGGAAGCAAAAAATAAAGATAAAAAGGTTCAAATAACCGAACGACTCCAACATTTTCTACTTTGGGCCTATTTGGTTCGTTTCTTGAAAAAAGTAAAAATAAAAAAATATGCTAAAAATACATTTTCGTGCATTTCTAAGGATTTTTTGAAAAATAATTTTTTGTGTTTATTTGGCATGAAAATCGTTGGTTGGAAATGTATTATTTCTCTTTCTTCTATTTGGGGTTTGTTTGTTTGCCTAAAAAAAGAGGGAAATCAAAGAAATGGAAAACTATTTCTAAGAAAAATTGTTTTGGGAGTGTTTGGTTGGCTAAAAAAAAAGAAGGAAATCAAATAAATGAAGATGGGATGATGTTAGTTGTCACCTTATTATTGGATGATAGGAGTGATTTTTTAAGAAAACTTGTTTTGATGTTGTTTGGTTGACCAAAAAAAATAAGGAAATAAATTATAAGAAACCTATTTCCTGTAATATGTTGTTTTCTTTTGTTTGGTTCATTCTTAAAAATAAGAAAATAGATGAGATGAGATGAGCTGTCATTATATTATTGGATGATGTGACCCACACTTAAGGAAATCGTTTTCCTAGCTTTTTGAGAGGAAATTGGTAGAAATAAAATGTTAATAAGATGAGATGAGTTGTCACCATCTTATTGGATGATGCGAGTGATTTGAAATGATGAGATAAAATGAGTTGAGTGATGTTGTGGATGAAAATAATATTTTATCAGATGTGGTGGATGAGTTGTTGGATAAAAATAATATTTTATTAGATGTGATGGATGAGTTATTGGATGAAAATAATATTTTATTAGATGTTATGGATGAGTTGTTGGATGAAAATAATATTTTATTGGATGTTGTGGGTGAGTTTTAGGGATGAAAATGGAGGAAATGGTATTTTTTAAGATTTCCATATTTACCATTTCCATTTCTTGGTTTTTAGAAAATAACCAAACAGACCCTTCGATGAAAACTAAAAAAAAGAAAAGAAAAAAAAAGAAACCTAGTTCTCTTTTCCCCAAATAATTGACTCGCAAGCCAAAAGCCAAAAATAAAGGAGAGGATGATTTTTTTATTGCCAGAAATTCTTTTTCAACCCATTTCAAAAGTGTTGGCTCTGAAATGTCCCATTAATTTGATGTATCAAGGGTTATTTGGGGTCAATTTCTCGAAAATCATTAGGGAACCAAAAGTGAAGGGGAAAAAAACAAAGAGATACTGTACACCGAAATCTGTTATGGCGCAGGTGTCAAATCCTGGAAACTCGTTTTTTTTTCTTTCTCTCTCTTTTACCCCCAGGAAACAAGCAGGCCCAAAATGCTGTAACGCTAAAGCAGAGTGCGGTATAAAAAAAAAGGGAGTGAGTCTATAAATATTGTAAAAAGTGTACAAAAACCGCAGTTAAAAATTTGTAAAGAAAGAACAACAGAGGTACCCACACGCTCTCACACGCGCGCCAGCGGCATACACACGCTTATCAAGAGCCTTTCTCTCAATTTTTTTCTCTCTTTGTTTTTTGTTTTATTTTTCTTTGGTACACTCTTATATTTCTTTTAAATTTTTTTCTTCCATTTTGCTAGGCTCAGAGAATGAAGAAGAAGGGATAAGGAAACAGCAAAAGGATTGATCTTTGTAGAAAAAGGGTTTGAGCTGTGACATGGGCAATGTTCATTTGAACTGAGAGCATCAAATTTTGAGAGATTTTTAGCTGTTGGAGCTTCTTTTAACTGATTTTTGTTACAACCCATTTTCAGAAAATTGTGAGGGGGAAAAAAAATCTTTTTTTACTACATAGATTTCTTGCTCTTCCCTTCCCTATCCGACAAAATCTCAACTTGGGTTTTTTCTGATTGTTTTTGGCAAGGTTGAATTAGAGAGAAAACATTGCTTTTTTCTCTTCAAAAGTTTAGATTCTAGTGTTGTTTTGAACTTTAATGCTTGTTTTCCTGTTTCCTTTCCTTCTTAAAAATCTTTAGAATTGCTTAAATCTTGCAATAACGCAAGTAGAAGAAACAAACAAGTGAGCCCCTCTTGGGTTTGTTTCTTCTAGATTTAGCAATCTGCCCGTTTCATCATTTCGCCTGAAATGGTGAAGGAAAACCCTAGAAGGACCTTAGTGCATTTGAACCTTGTTGCTCTCCTTATCTTCTAAAGTTGCCTCTTTCCATCTTGAAGAGGGCAAAAGATTACAAGTTGGGTTCTGCTTCTTTTGGCTGTAGGAGTCGTCAAAAATGGAGAGCAAAACTCCTAGAAAAACCCTTGCTTTCATCTTCATTTTCTTCTTACTGCTTGTCCAGAGCCCGAAACCTTCCTATTCTCAGTCTCTGCGCTCAAATCCAACTTCCTCTCAATCACCAAAACCTTCCTCTCAATCCAACATTGATCACAAAACCCAACCTCACATTCGCCGAATCCTTCTCGGGCTCCTCTTTGGGTCCCTCACCGGTCTCTTCGCCTCCATTTTCTTCCTCCTCTTCATTAGGCTCTTCCTCTTCTTTGCCAACCGCACCCCACTTCTCAAAGGCCCTGTAAGCTTCTCCACCCAAATTGCCCCCAAAACCCTCCAACTTGCCCTCTTGAACCAACCCCAATCCTCCCAATCACTCAATTCAAACCCCAATGCTAACTATTTCAGGCTAACCCTTGACAATGAGCTTGTTGTCGCTGTCAAATGCCTCGAACTATACACCCCCAGTACATCCCCTAATCAAAATCCCAATTCTATGAGGTCCAACTCCGCAAAGAGAAAGATGCAAAGGGAGCTTGAATTGCTCGCCAGAGTGAAGAACCGGAATGTGATGAGCTTAAGGGCCTATGTTAGAGAACAGGATCGGTTGTTTTTGGTGTACGATTATATTGCCAGTGGGAGCTTGGAGGATGCAATGAAGAGGGTGAGGTCAGGTCAATTGAGCCTTGGATGGGATGCAAGACATCGGATTGCAGTTGGCATTGTGAAGGGGTTGAGGTATTTGCACTTTGAGTGTAGCCCAAGGATCTTGCATCATAGGTTGAAGCCAGGGAATGTGATTTTGGATGTGGGTTTTGAACCGAGATTGGGGGATTGTGGATTGGGGGGATTGCTTCCTGCTCGAGTCGATGCTTTGGGCTGTGAGTGTTATGTTGCTCCAGAGTGCTTCCAGAGTTGCAGGTAAAAACTTCAAATGTTATTAGCGTTGATCTATATTAGCAAGAAGATTGTTTATCATTGAATGTATTTAAATTTTAAGTTTGGTATTAATGAGGAGATTCTTGTTGAATATTTCTTTTTCCTTTTTTGTGGTTTCTTTATTTTGGTCATATTTATCCCTCTATATGGAGAACAGTAGGTTATTGGTATAGTCTTGTGATATCCCTTCAAGATCATTTAGGAGGGGACCATTATTGATTGAATGTATGTCAGTTTATTCTGATTTAGAGGTTGAATAGTGAAAATGTGGTTACTTGAATTTTACCTTCTTATTTGTATCTGTCCATTTAAACATTCCAACGAAAGCAAGAACAAAGAGTAGGTTTTTGCTTGGCTTGGTCTTGTTGGGGGTTAATAGTTAAATGAATTCCTAATCATAAGAACTTGATTGGATTCATCCTATCTGCAATGAATAGAACTGATTTAGGTTTGAACAAATATCATCTACCTGAAATTTTCATTTTGGCGCTTATTTTTATTTTACTCATAAGTCTGCACCATGGCTCAAAGATATATGTGCTTCTGCACAGCAAACACATAATAGTCTCTGATGATAGTAGGGCTGAGATGGATAATGGTGAGCGCGCTATCTGTACCCATTTACGCTATGTTTTATGGGGAGGGTAAGATTTTCTATGATTTTACATGGTTACCCATGTAAAAATAATTAAGGAATAAATGTCTAATAATGGTGTAAATTATTAATATCTCATAAACATAACTCATACTTATCTAAGAACAGATATATAAATAAATGAGTAACTTGGAGTATTGGATTGACATTGCTTTGTGGATACTTTCTCTACTTGATTTGATTTTTGCAAGTATTTTATTCAGGTCAGAAACTATTAGGTGTTTTCTTTCTTTCCCTTTTAGTATTTAACCACTGTAATGTTTACTTTCATTTTTTACCTGTTCTCCCAGTGCGCTATGTGCTAATGAAAATTTTTCCTATTACGAAGAATTTTTCAAAACAGACCCGCTTCAACTTTTTTTTCTTAAAACCGACCCGTTTTTTTTTATTTATCAAAACCGACCCGATTTTGTAATTAACAGCTTAATCACCATCCTAAACAGTCGGGGTTGGCAACCCCGACTATTTAGGAAGGCGTTAAACCCTAATTAGAAGCCTTAAACCCTAAAAATTAATGTCCTAAATAGTCGGGGTTGCCAACCCTGACTGTTTAGGAATGTGATTAATCTGCTAATTACAAAATCGGGTCGGTTTTGATAAATAAAAAAAAAACGGGTCGGTTTTAAGAAAAAAAAGTTGAAGTGGGTCTGTTTTGAAAAATTCTTCTTCCTATTACCTTATAAGATTAGGATTATTTGTTTATGAGGGTAAAGGATTTGGTATGTAGGCTAAGGGTCTTGCTCTTGCACTTTTCTAGACGCAATGCCTAGTAGTACATTGGAGGATTGGCTATTTACACCGGCTTTTAACTTTTATTACAAATAAGATAGGTATTTTTTCATGTAATCCTCTCCTCTTTGCCAATTGCTATCCCAGCCAAAGACGTGGAACCAGGGCATTGATGTCATTTAGATTGCAACTTGTAAAATTTTGATCCAGTGTTCTTTAGACCCTTTTCATTTCTTCATTTTATTCAGTAATATAATACTAGAGGGACAAC